ACTAGCGATTCAGAAAATTGAGTTTATTGCAATGAACTATGGTCAGTCGGCCTCGAGTTCAAATCCGACCTGGACTGGAATACCCAAAGGCGGTCGACCCATATCGTGGGCGAGGCGAGTGAGTCACAGACTCAAGGAAGAGGTAGAAGCTAAATGATCCAATGGTTAGTTCAGCATGTGCGCAGTCGACACTGGGATACCATTATGGTAGTTTAGTACTTGTAATTTGCAAGTAAATAGCAAGAGCAATGATATGCAATATCGATAACTATCGGTTATCACAAATTTGAACCAGAACAAATCGCATTACCACGTACCAGGTACCATATTCATTATGTCAGCACTTAAATGTCGATTTACGAGTCTTACATAGTCTTCCATATCATTGCAATGCAACATTGTAATGAATCACAGTCACGTTAAATGTTACTGATGTCTGTTCAACAATTGAGTTGTCGCTTCGATTAGTTTATTCCTATACAAAAATGATGGTGGATTTTGACAAATAATTTGCAAAGTGAGATACTCGGCGCAGATTTTTTTGTTGCCACCAACCTTAAATGCTCAGAGATCTGGACGCACTAAGCTGTTCACTATAATTATTTCATTAATAAATAGACTAATTTCATCACACGTTTTTATTGTATTATTGCCATTGTGAACGATAGCGTTGAAATGTTGTTTTATTTCTGAAGGCACATAACGTTGCAAACCACATCCGACGTTGAAGAAACCAATCCATTGAAATGTAAGAAGACGAAACAAGGTTGAATTAACAATTATGTACATATAAAAGAGTATATATATATATATATATACAACCTTAAATGGTCGTCAACCATTTGGCACGGCCATCTGGAAACTTGACATAGAAATACGATGACGTATGCATATGACGCACAACAGTCACTGTATTGCACATTGGATTTACCTTCGTATATATACATGTAATTGGAAAAGAAATGGGCAATAGATTATATATTTAAAGCTCGTTCTTTATTTAATTCTGTTTTCTAATCTGTCCCCTTGATTTGGTGTTAGGCGTAGACAAGCTATTAGAAGAGTTTCAATTCTAGATAGTTTTTTAAATGAGCAGCGATTGTTATTTATTGTGATTTATCGAATCAAATATTGTCTGTTAAATAACAAATCGTTATATTCGTTGAAATGGAGTTAACTATACCAATACGGCATGTAAATTGATGCACTACGGTATAACGGTTCGAGGGGGTTTCAGTTTTGTTGTTATCAATGTTAAATTAATTATCATGCTGCTGCAACGCAACGAAGTAGGATTTCAATCTTCGTGTAATTCGCTGACTGATTATTTGACGTATGTAACATATCCATATAATTACAGAAACGGATTATTATCAACCGATGAGAAAGGGACTATCTATAATTTCCATAGACTTGTCAGAGAACGCTTGATCAATATATATAAATTTGTCTGATTTCTGTACCCACGCATATTAGTGCCGGTATAGATAATTGGTTCCTGCCAAACAACATTAAATATTAAATAAACTGTACTATTCTGACCTGACATAGACAATTTAAATACATGCACCTGGAAATGTCGTATTATCTTATACCGGATATATATATCTCAATAATTGTATACTGATATTTTTGTAACTTATCGATTTTCCTAAAAAATAGACTAACGTATTTTCAGAACATGCTTCTATTGCACCTCAGGATCCTAACCCAAATATTGACTTTCACATTTACTTTCACTGTTCTAGTTAGTTTTATCTGTGAAATAATGATTAATGTTTTTAACAATCAACATAATCAGCGTACCTAGTTGGTCGTGATTCTAAACATCGATTTCCCGAGTTTTGAAAGTACTCACTGCTCAAATATGTCGACCAATTTATCAAATAGACATTACAAGGTTTCATGCATGTGAATATGTGCGTCTAGTCGCATGTGTCAATGTTATTGTTCGCCAATCGTGACATTCAATCCCCGACGTATATTATTAAAATATCTGCAAGGTCGATTTGGAGAAAGGATAGCGACACTGTAGATTTGAGTTTCAGGCACATGTGTGATCAGCTATTGTTTTCATGTATAGAACTGTACAGCAGGCAAGGCCATGTCTAAATAACATGATGGTGCTCGTGATGAAGCCCTGGTAACCCGATAATTGTAGAAAAAAACTTCATATTTTCTAGACGATATGCAGTGATTAGACGTGATTATAACAATGTATTTTGCACCAAAGCTACAGGGAAGTCATTTGTGCATTAGCTCACCAAGCAGATTTTCACTTTCACGTCCGTCACGCAACCCGATGCAACGATCGTTATAAATAATATGATTAATAAACAACCAAAAACTTCAAATATGACCAAATCCATTTCACGTCATTGTACAAACGGTTAGCTTAAGTTGATTTTTAAAATACATTATGAAGTTTCTATTCATTGCAACTGAATTGTCATCTGATACCAGAATCCAATATTTACATTGACATATATTGTTAATACCCTCTACAGATACAAAACCTTGAAATAATGACACTTCGTGCATAACATCGATTTTGCTCTGATACTACATTCAATGCTCACGACTCGCACCGACACGACCCGTGTTGCATCGAATCATAAAACATCACCGTTTAACACATGTCCCCTTATCGGCTGATGCCGTCGTGAGTCCTGGCATGCTCACTCTGGCATAACACAAGGGTTTTGTTTACAGTTGGTAATATAAGCAGACTTTTACAAATTAAGCATAGTCTGTGAATACGTCCATTTCGAAATACATGTTTACGGGCCTTGCTGATGAGGCAGTGTAAAATGAGCATTTGTGTCCCTTGAGAGGGAGTCCACAGCACACGCCCCCAGAAGACGTCAGTTCTGTAAGACGAGCTTACCTTGGGTTATCAGCCCCGTACTCCAATGGAGGCCAAGTATTCAAATGCGGGATTTATAAAGACACAGATGGTGCTGGAATTGATTATTCATTTCACGGTAGATGAAGGAAGCCTACGATAACGGCTCGGTGATTCTGGCAACATGAATTCAACGCTACTTATCAGAGTAACACTTTCCGTCTTATTCATGTCAACCCTGATTTTCCATAATGGTAAGTCAAATATGTATTATTGTTTTCTATATCTACATTTGTAAAGGTATACTTTAAATTATGCACATTTAAGTCTCATTTATGTACACTTTTTTGGACTTACTAATATGTTATTTGCACATTTGCACATGTCAGTCGTGTTGAGAACAAAACGCTACTACAGGCAAAAACTGGAAAAAATCGACGCTGAGCGTAAAGTAATTGGTTTAAAATATTGAAAGAAACAGATGGCAATTTACATTAGTTGTACTGTTCGCGAAATGGTGTACAAATGCCAGTTGTATTGTAATCAAACAACACTGTTTTTTAAAGATTGTGTAATGCAATGTAAAAGTGAGTCAGCAGGGAAGAATATTATCGTTTGCTTTTATTAAGACCGGGCGCTATATACAGAATTGTAAAGATTCCTCTCGTACATGATAATTTCAACTTTGTATCACATATTATTTTAATTATTTTACAATTTATGGTTATATCTCTTGATTGTACATTTTTTTACACAATTTTCATTAATTCGAATAATTGATTCATCATTGATCACATTTTGTGTATGTATTCTATGTCTAACCGAATTATGTATGCAATAAGTTACGATATCTGTAATATAATCTAGTTACATTGCGGATATTCATTATCCTATAGAGTTTTGGTCACGGTGTTACCATGGCAATTTGCATTGATTTTCACACGGTGAATATGTTATCTAGGGAATAATTAAGCCTGATCTGATGCCTAGGTGATTGAAGAGATTAGTAAAGTGCTTGCATAATGATGTCATTGCGGGAAATCGTATATATGTCCTTCCAACATATTGAATAACACCTGAGATTTTCTTGCCTACTAGCGAAATTGATAATAATATAGATACTGACGAGTAGCATGACTTTTACTCATATTTATCTGTCTTCGTTGTTCACACGATCAGAAAAAACAGGGTGGTGAGGAACTAAATATTTAAAGTAGGTTTAAAAAACCGCTTTCGAGGAGTTGATTGTATAACTTCCAGCTGCGTCAGTACGGAACGAATACAATAAACCACAGCGATTAATCTGACAACACCTTCGCTGTAGATAAGTTAATTACATCTACGAATTGATCGTAAAATCTAAAAATAATCGCTCTCACGCAGAGTAGACGGGAAGTAAGAAGGACATTGTGGCGAGTCTGTCCCATATTGTTGCTATCAAACGTTTAATCGATCAGATTATTGAATTATAGCAATGTTATTTGATATAGGTCTGTCGATAAATTACTTGTTCTCAACAGCCGACAAGGCTTCTGAAAACCTAATGAAACAGCAAGTTTATAATACTGATGTCAATGTATAGATGCGTGTAACAACATGTTAACAATTGTTTTTATTCTGACAAGATTACATGAGCGGAATATACTGACACACTATTTGTTTTGTTTGATATGCAAGCTTATACAAAAATGTTAAAACGTCTGTATCTTCATACAATTTACTGAACATAACATTTCACAATACATTAATCATTTTACATAATAGTATACACTGTGTATGCCGCGTGTTGATTGTCCCGTATTAATCGTTCACCAACTCGTCTTTTCAATTCATCTACAAGGTTATATATTAACTAGTGAGTTGGTCGTTTTGCTGTGGACGTTCAACTGTACGTTGCATTTCGAGGTCTGAAAAGAACGTCCGGTTTTTTGAATAGCATTTTTTTTTGTAACAGAGTGGCAACCGGCATGATTGGCAACTTTGAAACAAAAACACAAACACCCACGCGTGAGTTTATTTCTTTATATTTTCGCTCGTCTGTTCAACATGTTCTATTATAATAAATTAAACCTTTATGACGATACGCTGGCTTTTGTGCGTTAATTCACTGCATCTATTGGGTGTAATGCATACCTTTTCAAGTAGAAAACGTGCCATACAGTATAACATGATTTACCATAAATGCCACAAACTGATTGATTTATAAATAAACATACACAACAGCACGCAACAGCATGGGACGAATTGCGAGGGCAAACACAGTGTATATGATGTATATGGCAGTTGATATGCAATACTGTAAAATACTTTATTTTCGCATGGAAGTAATTTTTACTATTTTCGCTGAGGTAATGATTCAGCGAAAATAAAATCCAGCGAATATACAATTTTTCCCATATTTCACATTCAACTAACTAAAAATCAGTGAAAATAAATTACATACAAAACACCCAAAAAGTGTTTTCAGCTAAAATAATGTGTTTCACAGTAATATAAAACAGTGATTGTTATACGTACTTTATATCATGGGTTAAGCAGTTTCGCTTGGAATTACGGTTCGCGTACTCTCAACTGAGTTCGGGATAATCCTTTAGGCTTATTTCGGTGCGCATTTGAGTGGTGTTAAATGTCGGAGTTTGTGGTAGCATTATAAGCACCAAAAGTGTATACTACCATTATTCGTAGTTACAAAATAATTTTTAGATCGACATTTAGTATTTCTAGATAAGTAGAAATGTGTTGTGCATTTGCCTTCCCAAATATATATTGCACAATTAACATTTAAGCAAAATTACCTTTGTAATGTTCAATTATACAACTAGTGATCGAGTTCGCATTTTCCAGTTGACAATAGTTTACGGGCACAACATTATTTATTCGGAATTAAATAATAGAGACTATGGAATTTGCAGTCATAGTACATTTGTGGTCGCGAAAGTTTGTAAATCGCACATAAATGATGTGGGGGCGTCTCATTTCCACAAATATTGGCTCACAGTTGACATTCTAGCGATAGCGGTTTTCTCAACAATAGTGTAGTACAGGAAACTATCATCTAAGCCGGAAATTCAGGCGGAATACCCAGGATGAAGTCCATTATAATCGTTTCACTGTTACTCTCTCGAATATGAAAGCAATTGAAAAAAAAGCCGTTTCATGCTAGTTTGTTCTGTCTTTCGACGATGGTGAAAAGCATGCGAGAAAAGACATGTACAATTTAACACGCAAATGAAATCATCCCTCGATGGCTGGTTTCTCTTATATTTAACTCAAGATATCCCCTCTAGCTCCTACTCAAGAGACTGCATAGAATCTGATTATGTAATGTAATGTAAAAGGCAATTCTATTTTTAGTCTCAGGGTTGTTCACATGATGAAAGTAACATCGAATACTAAAAATAAAAGTGTTTTTTTTTTCATTGTTGGAACTTCGCTCTCATTTAAAATGTTTAATGTGGTAAAATAATCAGAACATTAATTAAAATTAGGGGAATCAAAATTGATCAAAAATAAACTTATTATATAAAATAGATAATCGTTTCACTATTAAAATAGAAGAATATAGAGTAACCAGCCACGTTTTGAAGTTATTTGAGTTCAATAAAATTACAATTCTTCATTAAGAATCTCATATTAAAAACCATCATTTTCTCTATGTTAACGTATCCATGCATTCAACTTTATGGTGTAGATTGTGCCTAAATTGAATAAACTTGAGTCGGTGACACTAAACGAGACAATCAAATTTTAACAAAGCAAGTTTATATACGTTTATTCTGTATTAGTAAAAGTTAACTGAGACGTCATTAGCAGTGGCCGCTGTTGATAATATGTATAATAACCGTTATCAATACATAAATCTTACTGCAACTTACGGAGTTTGATAATTTCCAGTGTCTTCAGCCAATAACAATGCAAATTAGAACGCGGTATGCAAATTTGCAATGTTATTTGATTCCGTTTGACTCCTTGACCTTACCAGCTGATCAACGTAAACACAGTAAATCACACAGGTTGAGTGTCATTTGAAAACATTTATTCGTATTCAAAACAAAATAGCTAAGATTCATACACACAATTCACTGACAGACTACATCACGTAAGTTCGTTCGAACGAGGACATTTTAACAGCGGTTAATTATCAGTTGTCGACGTCTACTATTCCTTCCCTTGAACATAGGGTTGATTGATTCTCCCGTTCGCTACTGTATTTAATGTCTTTAGTATAAGATGACTACACGAATACATACAGTGTGTAGAAAAGAATAGGTAAAACGACACTGACGACAGTGACTGGAAGGAGGAGGGCTGACCAAAGGTTGGTAGGAATTTGTGTTAGGTAGTTTTGAAAAAAAAAGTGGTCAAACGTATACTACACAAAGGCCATGCAGAGTAAATTGAAAAAAAAACACGATGTTTAAAGTGACTTACTTTCAAAAATATATTTCTCAATGGCAATTTATTTATGCTATTCACTATTATTTCCCCCAAATAACCATTCCGACTTTGCCTGAAAATATTTCTTACATTCCAACAAATCTTAACATACAGCAATTGCAGCTCAAAGTATTCTCTTTTGCCTAAGCAAGTTCAACTGTTAAGTAGTTTGCAAATAAACCATTTTGTTTTACACTAGCTGAAATGGTTAACGATATAAATCAAGTAGAATAGCAATGTTTCAGAAATCAACAATTAGCATGGGAAACACTTTTTTGATGTTTCCCCAGGCAACCGTTAATTAGGTTAATCGACATTTGATATGCCTATCCGTACATCACGTTATCACAAGCTCATGTTTGCCATGTAATACATATTAAATGTTTGCTACTTTCAGAAAGTGGTTTTCCAGATAATAATTTTTCTACAATAACTATATCGTCAACAAATGTATCATGGCAAATAATTACAACATTGAGACGCAACTCTGAACTCAAATATAAAATAATGAATAATATAATAAAATTATATAACAATTATGATGCTTAGTTTTTTTTTCTTGATTTCAAATAATTAAAGTGCACATAATTGTTATATATAATAAACGTGGTTTCAGTAAAATCGTATCGACACATTTGATAGTTTGAATATGCTTCTGTTTTACTTGTTTTCAACTTTTCGAAAGTGAATTTTACGTACTTTTTTCGCATGTAGGTATTAATCCTTACATTTTGACAACAGACATAATTTTGGGACATAACTAGTGGCATCAGGCCGACAACTTTTTGGCGAATTTTAAATATTTTACACACCCATTCCTTAATAAGTAACTCACTTTCCGTGGTTTTTGCAGAAACATCCATTCTTTAACACAACTTTTTGCCTAGTTACCCCTGCCCCACCATTCCGGTATTTCTAAAGCGGTAGCTTGGACTGTTCTTAAAGTTGGAATGATCTTACCTTTCCAACACAGCAGTTGCGTATAACTTCCAAGTTTGACTGAGAGTCATGGGTCGAATGTTTTTTCCCCCAATTTTCTCAATGCAAATGTTAACTTTGTCTTTGACATCATCACTTTGCAACAACGTGTATACATGTCTTTGTTGTTAGTGCTCTAACTTCACTTATTATAACAAAGTTGTTTAAACTGGTTGATACCTGTCTGTTAATATTCAGAATAGACTGAACTGATTGGTGACAGCTATATTTTTGCTACACCTTCATAGACGGAAGAATACAGTGGCTTCAATTGTGAAATGCCAAGTTAACCATGGTGTGTAAAACTGTTTAACTGAATCTTTGGTTTGTGTTCTTAGCTTGCGGGAGGTGAATTGTATTCACAGAGTAATTGTCTATTAACGTTTAAATCATTACACCTTTGTCGTCCATACATTGACTTACGTGTGTCTCCACTACTGACCTTTGAAGAAGAAAAAAAAAACATCGACACCCACCGTGAAAGTAATCAAATCGAAGTGAACACACTATGTATTTATACTATTCATTGATCACTATGTGCATTGGAAAAGGTTAGATTTCCAATTGCTATTAAATCAGAACAAGTACTGACGTAGACGAGCTTGATCTGTGACGTCAGTGATTAAAGATAAAAGTACGAGTTAGTTGGAAACAAGATAATATATTTCAACTTGATGGAATAACATAGATCGTACAACATAAGTCGCATGGAAAAATGTGAAAAAAAATTGTATATATTCAAAATTATAAACATTAGAAGTTAACAGTATATGCTATTTACAAAACATTCCTAGAACGACCACATGTTTGTGAGAGCAATATCAAGATTTGTTGCCTGTCCAAGGGAATGTGCTTATAACCATAGCAAATGAAGCACTTAGTAGCTCACAATTAGTTCTTACTGGCGATTCGTTAAACATCATAAACAATATACAAGTTATTGCAAAATATGGCTGTTCAGACTAATGTGTTATGTTTGTATCTTCTAATCAGCTTAGACAAAAGTTAAACATCGCAGTCGACTCAAGGGACAATAGTTTTCCACGACCGTAAAACAAACTCTGACTTATTGACTTGTAAAACGTATCATCCGACAGCTAAACAGGAAATGTTTTTATTTTAGTTCATCATATTTTTGAAGGATATAATATGGTCATTCTATATGTATCAGTGTCGACATTTGTATCTGTTAATAGGTGCATTTAAATGTGCGCATATGTATATACGTCACACTACATACTTAATAATCATAACCCGAAGCTGTTAGTCTGGGTTTAATTCAGGTAAGCATATGTACGTCATCCGACGTTTCTTATAAGCGTCGCCAGAATCGACAACTGGAAATGCTTGAGACAAAAGGATGCACTTTAATAACTCAACCGTCATGCGACCACGTGATGTCCATGGGCAAATGAGAGAGTCTGGTTATAATAATAGATATAGTATTCATGTGCATGGTTAGCGATGTTTATACAACTATTTGAAAACGAAAAGCAATATTATGTTTCTTTCAAACCAGTGTGTTGTTATACACTCTTTCTGGGCTAAGTTAGCATACAATTAGCATTCAATAATGGCAGATAGTAATCGTGAATGAAATGTTTTTAAACTTCATTCATGCTTTTAATATATAACATACTTAAATAAATAAATAAATAAATAAATAAATAAATAAATAAATAAATAAATAAATAAATAAATAAATAAATAAATAAATAAATAAATAAATAAATAAATAAATAAACAAGTAAATAAATAAATTTAAGGACAAAAATCTAATTACTGTTGGATTTGAGTAATAGATTTCAACAAAACACAGTAATTTACAAATAACAAAGAATGAAAACTACAAAATAAATTCAGGTTAATCAGTTGGATGAAATGTATTGTTTCAGACTAGTTAACAACCGACGATATTGACACAAAACATACGTGCAAGTTCATCCCTTATACGAGGACATACGTGACAAGTAGAACAATGTTACTGATGCAGCTAGATGAACAAAATTAACATCAATCAATATGATGTATTTGATACACGTTGCTTCTTGCTGAATAGTTTTGACAAGCCATATTTTACAATTGAATTAACGGACGATTTGTAACGACAAAAACGAGCATTAGTTGAGAGAACCTTTCGCCTTGATGCGTATACTATTCCCATCTGTTTATAACTATGTGGTAATGTGAGGTCGGTAGACAAATGATATACGCCACATTATCATACATCGCGGTTTTGAGTGATAATGTTCTGTGTTTCTGTCTTCAACCTCTTTTAATTTACTTTTCTAAGTAATGAATATTTCAGATTAACCATTAACGACCAATCTTATAGGAGATGTTATTTTAAATGCATTATTTATTTCATCATTAATCTCTGTTCTAATTAATTAATCACAGGTCTTGCAGGATCAATTCCAACAACAGGTATGTTTCGCGTCTCATATTTTGATATAGTGTAACAGGATCGATTTGGATATATATCAAATATACACTAGAGATAATACAATATTTATTACCGCTTGAAACATTTGAATAGCAAGTAACTTTTGTAATTCCTAATAGGTATATATAATGTCCGATTTACACTTAGTTAAATCAACCCTTACCGTAAACATAGAAATCCCCTTGCTTTTACAAAAGGCACGGCGCTACATATAACTTATTATCATGGCTTTAGTAATCAGTTCCAGTCTGACATGTTGCTGTCTACCAACGTATTCGATCGCAATCGCATTCTCGAGGCATTATATGTAGCATATGTGTATGTATTTTTCTGTGAATTGAACCAAATGTTTCTTAGTTTCAATGCTGTTTATGGCACTTGGTACTTTACAAATACTGTGAGCAGCATATGACCCTGTCTGGTATATCATTAAACTTCTTTCTTTCGGAATCTCGCCCAAAACTAGGTATCATATCTAATTAAATATAAACAAAATATTTATTGTGTAAATAAAATTTAATGCATGTAGATCGTTGTAGACCATGTAGACCATTGATTGAACTTTACCATAATGGTTTAAACCACTTGAATAGTGTGTCCTCGTTTCATTCAGGAATTTCCAAAGCTTCACATGAACCACTAGCGCCAGTAGGTCCATCCAGCAATCTCTGTCGACCGGATAATGGGATGCTTCAGTTGGTATTACACGGTGAGTATTTATTTACTCGATCTATGCCACCAATCAGGTGACTGCTGCGCTGCGAGGGACCCCCAAGTGGCCGGAGAAAACCTAGCTTCGATTTTTCTAATGAAATATATTCTATGTGAAATCCAGGTAGGAGTACAATAATCACGAATTAGTAATTGCTGCGATTTCTTTAAATGTCAAACATGGTTTATCGATTAGAATAAAACCCCAATCTCTCCTCCCACACACATGGCTACGTTGGTGTCGTCCTTCGAACGCTGTCACATTTTCGGTTTGAGCATAATTACCTAAAATCCACTACTCAGCGCGAGTACTCGTATACGTATACATTAACTGTGGAACCATCAGGGCATTAAATGTTCAAACCATTCGACTCAATGTTCAAACTTAGTATTGTTGTTACTGAGAGCATGGGAATATTTGTTTTATGTGGGGGTGTGATGATTGATTCAATAACAATAATAACAATACATGACAGGCGTCCACAATTTAAACGTTTATGATATACATAATAAATCTAAATGATATGCACATAAATCTCGTACACTTGATAGAAAGGACACACCACGAAGTACAATCAATATACGCATAAGTTATTGACGGTAAGTAAACTATTGCAAAATGTTGCTGTTGCTATTACAACAATATTTTGTATAAGCCCATTTTGATGTTTAGTAAGAAAGTCTTTGCCATATTCTCAGATTTGACAGAGCGTATGATTTGGAATATGCAGAAGAGCGAATCAACAGAACTCTCAGAATTGCAGATTCATGTTATACGTTCCAGTGTAAATGGTTTCTACAAAGATATTAAGGACCATCCAGCTATAAACAGCGATAGAGTCATGTTTGCGCCGCAGAAACCAGACCTCCTTCCAGATATAAATTCTCCAATATTAACTGGAGGCGGTAGTCCAAATGATGATGATTCCTCAGGAATTGTAAGTAATATAGATCATAATTTGTAACCACAATGTAAATTGGATCGAATGTGTGATTGATTGATTGATTGATTGATTGATTGATTGATTGATTGATTGATTGATTGATTGATTGATTGATTGATTGATTGGTTGATTGATTGGTTGGTTAAATTATTGATTGATTGAGTGGGCACGTATAAATTGGCTGAATTTAAATTTGAATTGTGGAGATCACAGTTTCATTCTTGGGTTGTGATTTATAATTAGGGTTGTTTGTATTCACTAAACGGTAGAAAATATATGAGATGCGCATAATATAATACATTGCCAACTCGATGTGTAGTGAATGGGAAATATGTATATCCTGTTACATTACACATTATTCTGCCGCATTACACCTGCTATTGTAGCTGTAATGCTCATTGTGTCAATTTAAATGTATAATAGTGTCGTAAAACCTGTTACAAATCAAAACTTATATAGGAATCAATAAGTCGAATCTAAATTGCAGGAGAAAAGAAATCGACCATTCCAGGAAGTATGCAGAAGCTCTAATGAGTGGATTCAGCTTACACACGGGAGCAACGAAGAGTCGGACTTAGTTGAAGTATACCAAAATCAATGGTTCCATGTTACACGTTGTCGTAACCAAAGCTCCCCATGCACGGGTATTGCTGAAATGTAAGTCATGCCACTAATGGGATTTTCAAAAAGTGCAGTTTTCTTCAAGTACTCTTGAAGTTAGCAATTCTAAACCAAACTTTCACGGAATGTCTTCCCGCTATCGCTCTTCGCAAAGTTCAAACATATCTAGTGTATTAGGTGTTCTGTGTAAGCCTAATAAAAGAGGTGTGTTAGATATCTTTGCGGAATGCAGTTCGGCAGAATTATGGAGGCGTGATTAACCCAATTCAGGGCGGTGACTGACTGGCTTAAAGCACCCAGACCATGTATAAGAAATAGTAAACTTTTATAAACAAATGCAAGGTTTGTATATGTTAAATGTAGACGATTTCTTTGATTAGTGACATTATGATCGCAAAACGTAGCAGGTGTGAACTGACTTCTCACCAACGCTTAAATGGGGAGGGTGGACATGGAATCGGGGTGGACGTTGGGACGTCATACCAGGTGCAGGTCTTGACGGATTGTTGCGATAACCTAGCAAGGGGTGTCTCACGTCACGGTGTCTTAATATTAAAAGAACATCGAAACTCAACTCCAGAAACTGACTGTGTGTGACTACATGGGTGTGTGAATGACTTCAGTGTTCCGTTATAAGGTCTTATGGTATCCCTACACTGCAGAAACAAGCAATCTCCGAAATTCCCCTTTGAGCTACATTACAGTAGCATGCACACCATGTTCCAATGTTGAACTGAAAGTGCTTTACATTGTTACATCGTAATTGTTCATACTGATTTAATCGCTGCATTTTCATATGCACGCTTAAAACACGCTTACGTCATCAGTACTGATTTCACTCAACATACATTTTTATGTTTGTTTCTGTATTCTATTTTCTAGGTATACCTCTAGGTGCAAAGAAAAACAGTCTTGGACAAACGCATATGTGAAGACCCTCGATTCAGATGCCTATTCGTGGCAGTGGATATCAATCACCACGTGCTGCACCTGTGTGATATCTGAAAATTAAGTCTTATGCGGAACCCATCAAAGAAAAAATTAAACAAGCCTCAGCGAAGACTGCTCTTATATAACCCTTACTGTTAATTATTATAATTTAATCAATACCAGTGCAACGCAATCATAGCAAAGCAAAGATATGTTATAGAGTCCTGTTTATGTTTTTCGTATATTATAATGGACATTGGATTATATTACGGTAAAGCATATTTGAAGCCGTGCCATGAACAAATACTGCTTAGCGTATTTTGCATACAGTATATGAAAGCAAACCTTTATTTGACATGCTTGCTGTTTCAAATTTCTTAACTAAATAGTATAGGACGCCCCTATTTCTATTTTGTGGAGAATCCTCGTCGTTACCACCACCATCAATCTCTGTTAATAATGACACGTGACCACATTTATATTGTTTCATGCATGCTTGGCATCACGTGAGATTTGAAAGAATGCATATTGTCGAGCGTCGTTTGAAATTTCTAATAATGATATCGATTCACAATTGATTAAAGTGGGAGGGTCATCACCTGCGCACGCGCAGGAATTGAGTTCCAAGTGATGATAACAACACACGCTAAAAACGCAAAGGCTCATAGGTAGACGCTTGTTTGTAAACAATGACACGCTATAGCCATCTGACGCATGCGCATGTGACGACAACCCTGCTTTAATGGAGTAATACTTGGTTGGTAGATTATGAACATCCTCCATAGTCGGAGCAATTTATGATGAACTGTTAATAGTGCAAGCGGAAATATCATAAGAACAACTTTCAACATTAAAACGTCTCCTTATTACTATTTTAATTATTCATGATAGAGCCAAATACAAAATAGGAGATGGGGCCGTATATGTACCGAACCCCAATTAGTATTTCAACACTTATCTCCAACAACAAAAACGACATTTTGTACTGAATATGGTTTACAAATTATTGCCTGCATGCCAACACTTGGACCTGTGTTGTTACCTATTTTCATAACTCTTACATGAGGTATTGTAGAAATATAACGAAAACAATAATGCCGTATATGTTGAATACTTGAGTAGCATAGGTTCTAAGTGTATATAGTTCTTTGTGACACTGTTCTGTGAATGTCACTGCATATTATGTGAACCATATGTGAACGCATACGTATTTTAGTACATGTAACATGTTTTTTATCAATTTTGTAATTATTGAAATTTAATGCCAAATAATAAAACATCACTGCAATAATTGGCTAAATCTTTGCAAAAATGTTTAACTGCTCAATGAATCGATTTGTTGTGTTATATAAGACACGGTGTACGCACTCGTTTACAAATAAACATATTTGTATTCGGTTTAGAGAATACGAACTCGCGCTATACTGAAATTCGGCGTGTTGAAACCATGTCTGACTTCGCCGACTACGATGTCACTCTATCCATTCTGGTCGGGCAATGAGAAAGAAGTGGTACTTCGTTTTTCTGTCTCAAACAATTGGGATAATAACACAATATCCAGGATATCTTATAAATATTGCATCCAACTCATAAAATAATCAGTACGAATTGTTTGACAGTGTTAAAAATAAACGTTTTAAATTACTATTAGTGTATGTCGAGTGGTGGGAAGTAATACTCAACGATGGAATGCTTTCCGGATCGAGTTATATAGTGATATTTTGATATATATATTGTGTATATTATTATTTCGAGAAACCTGCCATACAGTACACTGATAAACCATTTGAAATTTGTTATTCGGGCAAATTGTGGTTAATTTATATATTATGAGCAAGCTATGCATGCACATGTGGGGTGTGTAATCGGATCAACATCACTATTAAAAGCAACTGGTCATGGTAAATAGAAATGTACTAGTTGTTATATATTACAGCATATATGCACTCTGTTTTCTTATTTTGCAGTTTGAGATGTGAAGCTAACATTATAGTGAGTTTTACGTATAGTGAACACAATAAACACGGTGAATCGGTCTCAATATGCAGCAAGTGTGGGAGTGTGAAAACAATTGGATTACGATATCGTAGGTACCTAATAAAGGAGTATTATCTTATAGTCAACAAAAACTGTATAACAGCGGGTGCAAAAATGATATATCAGAGCCTTGGAAATTAGTCTAATTGTCCGGTCTTGTGAATCCACATACCCACCTTAAATATGGGCACGGTGGACGTGTGTATTATTTACCAATGTTGAATGTGCCATTGACAAGTATTGGGGTAAACACAATGTAATAAAGTGTGTCCGATCGCATTTACGATGTAGTTTACTATGTATCACGTTTCTAAGGGAAACGTGACACTGTCACATGAGATGTTTGGCAAAATGTACAAGATTAGCAAGTCCATTCGGTCAAACCATAAATGCAAACAGAAACAAAATGTCAAGGTTTCATGCGACAAAATATAGCAGCAAATCAAAATTAAGATCGATAAAGCTACACTACTGGTGATTATTGCCGAGTTGCGGAATTTCGGAATAAATGTAGTATAATCAGACACCGAACAGCGTAGAGCAGGGAGGCATATATCTTTTTTTTTATATATCATATTATTTGTATAGCTTGTTAGTTCAGTGTAATAGTGTTCGTTATCCATACTTTGAAATTGGTATAACAATAGAAGTAATCTGATTGGTCGCAATTGAGTAGACAAGGCTTTTGTCAAAAGGGCATCATAAACAATCTCACTATGTTTTATAACATTTAAAGGATTGCTAGCAATTATATTACAATATCCGGTAGTTTCTAGTTTCCGGTCCAATCTAAAATGTATCAGGTCTAATCTAATCAATTCGAATATGTGCCAGGCATTATTTCTAATTAACGTCCACAAGCTATACGTTTTGTTTCATTCTTGTCTAGTGGTCATGCGTAAAGGCCACTGATTGAATTGTATCCATGATTATTAGGCATGTTAACATTTACGATTCTCGTGATGACGTATAGCTCATACAATCTGCGAAAAGGTACGTGGATTAAACAACGTCGCCAAGGCTCCTTTTTTCTTGGATGTGATATGTTACAAATATCATGTGTATGATCTAATTATAATAACAATAAATTTAAATTTAAAAAAAAATCATGTTCGAATCGTGGTGTACAATACTCTGTCCAGATGTGCTTAATAGGGGCTTTGTCTTATTAATCACATTCGTCTATGTATTATGTAACCACACTTAAAGGAGATAGCACTGTCGACGCCCGCCTCCTCCATCCACTCAATTTTATTTCCAAAGTCACACGTCCCTCGGAAATATACACTCTAATAGTGCGCATACCTTGTAAGGTGTACAGTTACCTAGCAACGATATTTGGTCCCGGATTACAGCGAATCCGGAAATACTTGCCGCCGAGGCTTCACGCTTAGAATTGTATTGCTTTCCTCTGTCACATTTGATAATATAAAATATTACGTTATGAGGTAATATAACATTTTACATACGGAGCCTGAATGTACACAGTTCAATGACACAATCAATTCATTGTAAAGAAGAAAGACGTGATGTCGCGTGACTTCAGGCCTTATTTTAGATATGACGGATTTCATTAAATTTTATGTTAATTTTGTTAATTATGTGCGAGTAGCGGAAGGGGGGGGGGTAAGCGCAAGGGATAATTTGGTGTGGTGCCTGACTGGAGAATATAGGATTGTAATATATTCGTATCTTGGGAATTAACTTGAGGCATGTTTTTTTTTTCAATTAAAATGAATTTTAAATTGCTTAAATACAGATATTGCAGGTATTATTTCATTTTAATTGAAAACGGTTTAGTTATCTAGGTGAAAAATCATTTTGTTATCGAAACATTCATATCTTATAAAACATGGTGTCCTAGTCTAGTTTGCATGTCCCAAAAATAATGTGAAAGTCTATTTGCAAACTAGGGATTATCTGATTATAGTAAATACATATTCATATTTTGGTCAACTGATATATGCGACCTCCGACTTCTTAAAATAAGTAACACAAAACACTGCGTGTTTTTCTTTGGGATTGCATCGTTATGTGATCAGATTTCTCTCTTCTTGAATATTTCCGGTAATTTCTGGTCAAAACATGGTATACTAGTATGTTTGAAATCATGTCATCATCTTTACAATGTATGACACTTGAGTGGCTTTCATCCATGTCTGTTTCTCATATGATTGTCCGTTTTTTTTTTGTTACCTAAATATAACAGTTTCTCACGGTCGGTAACATTGCTTAAATATCTCTTACATTATCCTTAGATGAAATGAAATCAATTGTCTTTGATTAGTGATAATATATTAAGTTAATTTTATTTTTGTCTGTAATTATATATAAATCAGATTTATTCATTTAGATTCTATTCAATAGTTTTGAATGTCAATGAATGAGAACAGTATCATTTACATATTAAACGGGTATTAGCGGAAATGTTACGGACGCATTTCCCATTTTGGAAAAGTTGCGTCACACGAGCATCAAATGCAGTAGATGGTCGCGATGCTACGCCCGTTACTGTCTAAGTGGGTTTTCTTTGAATAATCCTATAACATTATGTATCGTATCACTAGAAGATTATAACTGAAATTCTCTCGGAGGAGTAATCGGATTCTTTCGTTAATCTTCCGTGTTTGTCAGCTTTGTTTCCCGCCCACACGTGGCAAATAAGCCCGCCAATAGAAAGCTGTTCGAGCCATGAAAGTACAATTATTATTATTATTATTATTATTATTTTTATTGGCATGCATTATACAGTACGTACGCTGTCTAGAAGGCGTGAATGTTTGTTATAGACATGTATGCAACACTTACACAAGAAGACACTAAATAAGATTCATTTTCCGTTGTGACCTATTGAGTGTATCTTTCTTTTGCTAAATCGATTATGTAAAATTTACGCAGTACATTGAACTGTACAGATATCCGAATGCATCTGCCGAAAGATGATCTTATAAGATTTGAATGCAGTCACGATAATTCGGTGATATAACGTATTAATGCGCAAAGATGTCCCCCGGCTCCGTAATCTGTATACTTAAGTAGTCTGCGAGCAACACATAATGCATACGATTCGTCGAACAGAATACACCGCGGGGATGCGTTTCTGAAAATATTCTTAAGCACTGGTATTTGCTTTCACTATTTAGATGTTTGAGCCTTTCCACTGGGTTTTACACGATTTCGGCAGATTTTGTTTTTTCGCCGGGGAATTGATATTTTACATGTGGATTTAATTTAGCGGATTTTACTTATCAATGATATCAAAAACAAAACCATGTGAATAAGTAAAGCCTTCATAGTATAAAATTTCAGTAGTAGAATTTTAGTCATTTGGCTTGTATGCAAGAATAATTCATTGATTGATTTAACCTCTTTTCAACTGTCGAGTCGAACATCAACGGTTGGGCAATCAAAACCCAGTTAAATGTCCAAATGTCTTCAACGTCACAAGTAATCTCAATACTATTACAGCTGTGTACATATATAATATTATTACTAAACGTTTTACTAGTTATCTGTTTTCAGAATCAATGTGATCGATAGGCATATACCACAGAAGGCTAGTGCATATATAAGTCACATTGAGAACTGACAATTGATTAATGCACCTTAGTAACACTTTACGTAAGACCGTCTTTCTGCTAATTATTGAGTGAAGAAGAAATCATAAAATCCAAAAATACATAACACATGTAGCCTCGGGGGCGGAGCTACGTCACGGACGTTCTACGTTGCTAAGAAGCGCACCACTGTACCACAGTGACGTATTTCTATGGGCTTTGTGTGCGCTGCTGTGGAACTCCGGTGGAGCCGGTGAAAACTCGAGAAAACAACACAAACTCAACTTTGAAGTAATCCTGAACAACCAAATTTATATATGTTACACACGTGGGGCTAATCTTGTTACACTGTTCAGGGGACTCTCAACAACCATCGCAAAGTACCGTTTTCTCCGAGTTGTTGGTCTTTGTTTTCACCGCGAGGGTTGCCAGGCGGTAGAAAATGCCCGGATGTCCGCCCCCGAGGATATGCCTATGCATGACGGTACAGATATCCATGCCAACATGCCTACAGCGCCCGCAATCGCTCGCAAATACTACAGCGTCCATCAACTCCAGTATAGCCCACAGCGTCCAAATTAACCACCAACGTATTTCAAAAATTGCGTGTATATACACTCGTATATATGTTGTCAATGCATAAAAAGACATGCATTTCATTGATCAAATATTACGATAGATTGACTAAACGTGTATA